CATAATTTTAAGTCCTACATTTAGGACCATGATCCATTTAGAAATAATTTTTGTGTATCATGTGCAGTAGAATTGAAATAATTCTTCTTCTTCTTCTTCTTCTTCTTCTTCTTCTTCTTCTTCTTCTTCTTCCTCTTCCTCCTTCTCCTCCTCCTCCTCCTCCTCCTCCTCCTCCTTCCCCTCCTCCTCCTCTTTCTGCTTCTTTTTTTCTTTTTACTTTGGATATCCATTTTTTTTTCCAGAAGCATGAATGAAAAACCATTCTTCATTGAATTTTTCTTAGAAACAAAATTTGTCAGAAATTAATTGACTGTATGTGTTTCCATTTCTGCACTCTTAATTCTTTCTGTTGATCTGTATGTCTGTCTTAAGTTAATACTATACTACTTGATTAGAGAAGCTTTATAATAAGTTTTAAAATCAAGTAGTATGAGTCCTCCAACTTTGCCCTTCATTTTCAAAGTTGTTTTGGCTATATCAGGTATTTAAATTTTATATACATTTTAGAATTAGCTTATTCATTAAAAATTAATTTTAGAATTAGCTTATCCTATTATTTTGTTTTGGGTTGTGTTGATCAATTAGGGAAAATTTTATGTTTAATTATATTGAGTCTACTGAACCATGAACATTGTCTGTCTTCATTAGGACTGCTATAAGTGTTTTTTTAAATTCTTTAAGCAATATTTTGGAGTCTTCTGTCTACAGATCCTACATGTATTTTGTGAAAATTATTCCTAAGTATTTGTTGTTATATATTAGTATTTTTATTTAAATTTTCATTAATTTACTGCTAGCACATAAAAATGTGATTGATTTTTATACATTGACTTATTATACAGTGGTTTTCCTAAACTAATTTATTAGTTCTAGTAGCATTTTAATGATTTCCATAGAATTTGCTTCACTGAGGATCATGTTCTCTGCAAATAAAGACAATTTTATTTCTTAATTTCCAATTTTATTTTTTTTCCTTGCTTTTTTGAATGAGTTAGACACTCCAGTACAATGTGAATAGTATAGTACAAGTGAACATGCTTGTTTATTCTTTCTGCTCTTGGGAGGAGAGCATTTACTCTTTAACCATGAAGGATGATGTTAGCCATGGGTTTCTACAAAAGTTCTTTATCAGATTAAGGAAGTTCCCTTCTATTCCTCATTCATTGATTGTTCTGATTATAAATGGATGCTGAATTTTGTCAAATGTTTCTTTCATGGACTTCTTCCGCAGTTTACCCCCCCCCCCATGCTTAAGTTGTTTTTGCATATTTTAGGTATCCCATAAATATTTGTTGAATGAATGGAGCTGGGCTAAATACCTCTGTGAATGTAAGGCCACACTTTAGCCACTCAGAAGCATGAGATGTGCTTAGAGGAACTTAATATTTGAATGCTTATTCATGTCAGAGGTACTAGATTTGCCTAAATGATCTCATGCAATTTTTACAACATTCCTATGAAGTAATTTTGCAAAGGTGGGATGAGTAATAGATAGCATGATTAAAAAGTTGTAATATGGTTGGGTGGGGAAAAGGTTCTGTGTTTCATAATTCAATAGAATGAAAAAAGGTAATTGTTATGTTTATAAAACAAAGAATATACAAAGGAGGATGGTTTCAAATATGATGCCAGTTAAAATAGAGTGTGATTTGGTTATCTAATGGTGTGAAGGGATCAAGAGTCCAGTCAGTCTGGGGTACAAAGAATGTCATTTGTAGAATGACAGTTGAACTGTTAAGAAGGAAAAGCAATCCTGGCATAATACTTGGCTCAGCCATGAACAAAAGCCTCATAGTCAAAATAATGTAAATCTAAGTTATTGGTGTGCAGCCCTGAGGATTTTATCTATAGACAAAGTAAAGAAGATTTAATTTAGCTTATACATCAAAATGCAAATATTTGTTAACCTTAAGAAAGAAACAGTCAAGAAAGATTTGAAGGAAGCTAGAAGGTGGGAGACAAATGTGGAAATTGTAGGGATGTCAACACTCTTATTTTCCAAAAAGGGAACATTTAACCTCCTCTAAACCAGTTGCTCACCTGCAAAATGAGGTATAAAATCTTATCTAATGGGGCTGTGGTGAGGATTAATGAATGTATGTAAAATGTGTAATATGTGATAGGTACACAACTAACTGTAGTAGTGAGAAGAGAAAAGAATGTCAGGCCTATGGATAGAAGGAAATAAACCCAGTCCCACTCATGATAGAAAAACCTCAAGTCTAAGGTCTATAAATCACCTCCCTTCTGACACTGTCACTGCTCAGAGAGCAGTGGTCAGTCTGACTAATGAAAGGTCATGGGCTGTGTGAGGTGAGGGTGAGAAGTCTGAGTAAGCAAAGGTCAGGGGCTGTGCGTCCAGCTCAGGGCATCTGAATGACATGACAACCCTGTGAGCTGGGTCATTTTCCCCATTTTACAGTTCAGGGAGTTGACAGTCTGAGTGGCCAACTGACATACCCAGAAGTGGCCATGAAGTGGCTAAGCCAGCTCTGAAACCCAGCCACTGTGACTCTAGACTCCATTGTCTGCCATTGAGTCAAGTGGCACAGTGAATCTGAAATACTGGATGAGCTTATGGCATATCCTCTATACACGTTTCAAATGAATAGGCCCCTAGGTTTAATTAAAAGGGAAAAAAGATTAATTGTTTCTCCCAACAGCTGCAAATTATTTACATTGCATTTGTGTTGATGGCTAATAAAAGAGCGAAGACGTGCGGGGACAACCCAGGGTAGCTGTAATTCTTCCAGGGTCTGTAATGAAGAACCGGTTTGAATGCCAGAGTGTATGCACAGAGGAGCCTGCTGTCCCATTCGGACCTGCAGCGGGCAGAGCCGCTCTCTGCCTTGGGCATGATCCATTCCACAGAAATGGCTCTCAGGAGCCAAGACCTGAGAAGAACAGGCATATGTCCCTAATCCACTAAACTGCCTCTTGGTTAGTTCATGACTGTTGTGAAATGGGTAAGAAGGAGCAAAATGGCGGCCAGGTTGAGTCTACCAGCAATCCTGGAGCAATTCTTAGCTGACCTTTTGAAGCATGATGGTGTAGAAAAGGGACAGGAGCCACTGCAACAGAGCTGTTTTCAATTTTATAAGTTCTTGCTTTGTGGTACCTACTGAAAATTATACACTATGATATGTATGTATTTTTTAATATGTGATATATATTATAATGTGCATGAGAGTGTATTATAATATGAATATGTGTATGTGCACATATACGTGCCTTTTGGATCTCACCATGTGTATAAGAGATTTTTTTGGTCTTCCCATTTACTAGTTTTCAAGCCTGTGGCCATACTGGGAAAGTCACACCTTGTGAAAGAAGTTCTTCATCATCTTCATAATGATCACACCTACCTCTTAGGTCCTGTGGGGAGTTTTACATATGTGATAACATCATTCAAACTGTGAAGCAGGGTGTGAGGATTGGCATCAGGACAACTTTCATTATTCTAGGGCTCCCTCTACCCTGTTATTTTGTTTCTTAAGCACCTACTCTGCCCTCAGGCTTGTGGGAGTGTATGTAGGGGAATAAAGGACAAACCAAGGAGATCACAGTTGAGGAATCAGGTTAATATTTTGGGAAATTATTCTTAATGCCAGTGTAGAGGATGAATTGGAGTGGGATTGGACATCTTACTGGAAGACCAGTCAGAAGGCCACCACAGCCATCCAGAGAGGGGATGGCAGGCCAGAACAAAAAAAGGAGATGGAATTGACAGACCTGGAGTATTCATATAGGAATATTACACCAACCATAGTACAATGGTTGTACTTAAAAAGTTTACTTTAAAGTTGTACTTTAAATACAACGTATTTAAATTCTCTACCTTTTATGTGTGCCTGTTGACCATATTTATCTTGTATTCTTTTGCTAAGCCTGCCTTAACAAAGCACTACTAACTGTATGGCTTAAAACAACAGAAATTTACTGTCTTACAGTTCTGGAGGCCAGAAACCCGAAATCAAGTTGCTGTCAGGACCATGCTTGCTCTGGAGGTGCAAGGGAAAAAAATCTGTCCCAGGTGTCTCTCCTGGCTTCTGGTAGCTCCTTGGCTGGTGGCAACAGAACACATGGCAGTCACATGTATGCATGCCATTCTCTGTGTCCAAATCTCCCCTTTTTATAAGGGCATCATTAATTTTGGATTGAGGCCTGACAAAATAACATTTTAACTTGATTAAAGACCCTTTCTCCACATAAGGTCACATTCCAAGGTACTGGAGGTTAGGACTCCAACCTTTTTTTTTTTTTTTTTCCAGGACCATAGTTCAACCAGTAATATGTATTTGATATGTATTTTAAGTGTGTTAATTTTCCATTAGATAATATATTATTTAACTGGTCAAATTACTGAAGAACAACTTAAATTGCTTATAGGTAGTTTAGACCATTAAGTTAGACACAGTTTTTAAATGATAAGAAAGTATTAAAATGTCTATTGTACCTTTACACATATGTTGGTACATATACAGATATGTATGTATAAAATGCAGTAAGAATTTGTGATGATGGACCAGATTAGGTTGAGATCAGAAATTCCAGCATGATTCCAGCCATGATCTGCTAGTTCATTGATTGATAAAGGACATTAACCCTGAAATATCTATTAATAGATAGCAGCATTTGAGAATTAAAGCTGCCAGTCAGTTTTTAAACAGTAGCTATCTACACTGGGAATTCAGGAATAATAATAGTGGGATTTGGGTAAAGTGAAAGATCATGGTCTTGGAGCCCAAAGATGTGTTTGAGTCTCAGTGCCACCCTAACTTTCTGTGTGCTTCATGTGAATTGTTGAAGTTCTCTATGAACCTCACTTCTCTGAAGGACCCTTAAGTGTAAAATGGGACAGACATGCTCTTTGTCTCTCATGTGGTTGTTGGATGAGAGCTTATGATGACAAATGTGCAGTATTAATATTATGGATTAGCTATTCAAGTGGTGAATAGCTTAAAAGTTAATCTTTGTTTTGTGTTTCCATTGTGTTCTAGTCAACAAGCACAAGCCATGGATCGAGACCTCATATCATGGAGTCATAACTGAGAACAATGACACAGTGATTTTGGACCCACCACTTGTAGCCCTGGATAAAGATGCGCCAGTTCCTTTTGCAGGTGAGATGATGGCTTATTATGGTTGCACTTAGCCTTCTTTGAGACATGTCAGGAAGCCTCCACAGAGCTCGGCCTCAGGCTGTCTGTAGTTCTTGTCACCTCCTGTGCTTCTCATCATGATCAGCCTGTGATTTCAAAGCTCTGTGCCTCTTTTGACTTCAGGTTTGGTTCTCATTTCTGATTTACGGTTTTTTCTTTGCTATTTCCTCCAGTGCAAGACCCTTATTTCTTCTTCTGAGTGATGGTATATTGCTGAAGTGACCTCTGGAGTTGGAAAAGCTGGGCCAATAAGGTCCATAGGGGAATTTTCCCTCTAGGAAGATGACCTCTAGACAGATTAAGTGTGTGACCCACTGTCCCCACTGTCCATATATCATGGACAGGTGAAGACTTAAAGCTTGGTAGATTGGCAAACGGAAAATGGAAAGAAAAAAAGGACTAGGAAATATTTGCTAAGGATAGGAGAGGGGTGTGTCCTTGAGCTTCACAGTGGGTGTGGCTTTTGGTAGAAGAATCAAAAGACAGTGCCATTTTGCCCTCTGCAGCTTGTGGCTGGAGAGTCTTCTCATTATCATCAAGATAATAACTTTCTTCTCTAACCTCTTGTAAGGACCAGGTCTCTGGACTGGTGTGTGAAGAATATGGCTATATATCATGTTTCCAACAATTCTGGCAAAGAGAAAGGGGTGGCTGATGGTAGGGGGAGGAGGGAATGGACAAAGAATTTCTGAAGATGCCTGCATCATTTGTAATATTGTTAACATTTTATAACTGTCAGGAGAAAGACGGGAAATTTAATGAAAGTTTTCAAGATTTCTAGAAGATTGCTTTATGATAGATGGGTGCCAGGCTGAGGTTTTCACCACGATGAAGTCTATTTTTTCTGACAGTTTGTCTGCTACATTATGAGCTACTTGGGCAGGAAAAATTGGCTCTTTCACACTTCTAAGAGATAAGCTCTATGAAGACCCTTTTTCATTCCAGAACATTGTGGAGCAAGGGGGTGGGTTCAGTAGGGAAATTCAGCATTATATAAAGATAAACCCGTAAGCATTCTTGTGGAGCATAGGGAAGATACTCTTGACTTTCAGAAGAAGGCTTTATCTTTATTTCATGTTAGACTGATAACTGCCAAGGGCTCCTAACTGTGACTTCCATAGTGTTTAGAGTTAGGATATTTCCATACATCTTCCAACCGTCCTCAAAGGTCCCATCTCAACGAAATTCCATTTGGAAGTGTGAATCCCTTGCTGTCTTTTCCGCAAAAAAGGCGTTATCTTTCCCAGACCTTCTTTGCCAACCTGAGACTATTCCAATATATCTCCTTTTTGGACATAACTAGGTGATATTGAGGTTAATCAGCAATTCTTGGGACACTTGGTGGCTCAGTCGGTTAAGCATCCGACCTCATCTCAATCATGATCTCACAGTTTGTGGGTTCGAGCCCAGTATCGGGCTCTGTGCTGACAACTCAGAGCCTGGAGCCTGTTTCAGATTCTGTATCTCCCACTCTCTCTGACCCTCCCCTGCTCACGCTGTCTCTCTGTCTCTCAGAAATAAATAAAAAATTAAATTTAAAAAAATCAGCAATTTTTAACCTCCTAGAAATGAGATTTTAAAATAAACACTAGCAAAAATGTTTGGGTTATGAAAATGTTTGATTTGGCATGCACTGTGTGCTTATCAAAATAGAGACAATATTTAAAAATTGGGAGATTTAGTGTAAGAAGTCAGGATTCTGATTTATCTTGATGAATCAGATAGGAAATGCAAAGCTGAGTCATGGCTTCCCTCTCTAGGCTGAGCATGTGCTCCTGGCGTCCTTCAGCCATTTCTCTGCAGCCTGTGTGCATAGGTCCTTCCACCAAGCAGTTCCTCTCATTCACCTTTCCTTTCAAGTGTGTGACTCTTTAAAACATAACAGAAAAAGCCAATGACATATTAAGCAGGAAGTAAATGTGTGCTATTAAGTTACTTTAGTGTAGTGAGTCTACCATTTTAAAAGATGAGGGATGTGTCCGATTCTTCATTATGTCTACCTTCAATGAAGCCCTGCTCCCATCTAATAGTGAACTAGGAAACCGAAGTTGTTGAATTAACTGTTCTACCATAAATTTATAAGCTCTTTAATGTACAGATGAAAAGGGGGCAGGGTGGAGACAATTTAAGCAAATCTGGTATTTGGAAGTTTGGGTTTATAAAAGATTACTTCTCTTCCTTGGTTTATGGCACTGCAGGACAATTAATAATTTCACCTAAAGATACACCAAAGTGTTTTTCATAAACCATAAATCCATCAAATGCCTTTAAACTTGAATTTGTATTCTGACCATCTGATGTGCCCACTGGTTTTCAGGCACATCTTGAAACTCAGATTTCCTTCTAAGCCAAGCCCTGAGTTGTTATTCCCATCTGAAGAAAATTTCTGTGCTCCTTGACATTTGCAGCTGCATAAAAACAAATCTAGCTTAATGCATCAAAATATAATCTTCCAAGCTCTTCAGGGTAAAAAATAAAGGTGCTTTTTGGAATGGTCAAAGCTATTTTTCTCAGTGTTATTTATGATCAGCTCTAAGACAGGACACAAGCACTCGCCATCCATCCATGCTGCAGACGTTTATTTTAAAACATTTATCTTAAAAAGAAAATACTGAAGATTTATTTTAGATCCCTATCATTCTCATAAAATTGAAAAATTCATATCTGCCAGCTCCATCAGTTCTCAAAGTCAACTGCAGCTTTTAGTCCCCCTTATCAACTGTTCATGCATTGTGTGTCAGGTTTTCCACCCCTTTCCCACTGGTCTTTATTTCCAATTTAGCCTGTGAGGCGTGCCATAAGCTTACTAGGAGATGGTTCTGTCCATAACATTTTTGCTTTGTCTCATTTCTTTTGTAATTCCCCCCTTGAAAAAAAATTTTAGAAAAATCTACATAAAATAGCACTCACTTAAATAAAAGTCATCATTGCATTTTGCATATAAATGCAAATTCAGGGACATAGAATAGCTTTTACTGCATATTTCCTGATTATTACAGTAAGTGTTTATTGTGGAAAATGTGAGAAATATAGTGAAACACAGAGATGTGAAAAATATGTTTTCTTACCCCCCAGAGAGAGCCTCTGTTAACATTTTAGTGTATTTCCTTCTAGTCACTTTTCTACTCTTTTTTTTTCCCCCACAAATTGTGATTGCTCCTCATATTCAATACTAACAACTTATTTTTCCCACTAAACTGATGAAAATATACCATTTCATTAAATATTAATTCTGCAACTTATTAAACGGCTACATGATGTCCTTCTCAATGAATATATTGTAGCTTACCATTTTCTTTTTCTAGCTTCATTGAGTTAGAGTTGACATATAACATGTCTAAGTTAGCAATTTTCAAGGATATAATACAATGTTATTAACTATAATCACCATGTTGTACATTAGATCTCCCAAACCTTTTCATCTTATAATTGAAATTTTCTACCCTTTGGCAACACCTCCCTATTTCCCCCACTCCCAGTGCCTGGTAACTACCATTCTACTCCCTGTTTCTGAGTTTGGTTTTCTAAAGCTGATTCCACATGTAAAGGAATCTACATATAAGTGATATAATATATGTGATATAAGTGATTCCACATACAGTTGCCACATATAAGTGAGATCATGCAGTATTTGTCTTCTGTGTCTGGCTAATTTCACTGACCATAATGTTCTCAGGGTCCATCTTTGTTGTAACAAATGCAGGAGTTTCTTCTCTCTCATGGCTGAATAATACTCCATTATGTATATGTGCATATATATCATATATATGCATATATATATGCCACATCTTTATCCATTCATTGGTTTATCTGCTGACAGACACTTAGGTTGTTTCCATATCTTGGCTATTGTGAATTATACTGCAATGAACGTAAGGATGCAGATATCTCTTTGAAATCCTAATTTTATTTCCTTTGGATATATACCCAGAAGTAGGAATGAGAGATCCTATGGTAGTTCTATTTGTAATTTTTTGAGGAACCTTCATACTGTTTCCATAGTGGCTGTATCAGTTTACATTCACACTAACAGTACACAAAGATTCCCTTTCTCGGCATCCTCACCAACCTTTAATCTCTTGTCTTTCAGATGTTAGCCATTCTGATGGGTATGAGGTGATAGGCAAATAATCTGTTATAATTCTTTTTTATTATAATGTGTCTGCTTTTCTGATTCTATCATTTGGACGGATTTCCAGAATTGGAATTAACTGGTCAAACATTTTAAAATTCTGGAAACATGTTAAATTCCTTTCCAGAATAGTTGTATGAGTCTGCAGTCCTGTTCTTACCACTCCAGTCTCATTCCCTGGCCCCTTTATGGCTTGTTCTAATGATGTGATTTAGTAACAGTGTGGTGGAATCACCAGTAACATTAGCCTCACCATCTTCACCTATAAAATAATATAAGTTTCCAAGGTTGTTGTTTTGATTAAATTTAAAGAATGTCTATGATGCATGTTATAATGATTCAGGATACAATAGAAGCTTAATAAATTTGAGGGTTTTTTCCATAATCTCTTCTGTGCCCATTTCATAGCAAGATAACTGAGAGAGAGCCCAAGCATCTCAGGGCAGACCAGCCATGGGGCTGGGACTGGAGCCCAGGACTTCTCACCATTTGCTCTGAGTTCTTTTTCCCAGTGATGTTGCCTTTTGATCCCTGCACCAAATGATTACTAGAGGTGTGAACTTCCAGTCAGTGAAAGTTGAGATCTCAGACCTCAGTCAAGTCCATTAGACCTAACTCGGTTCTCAACCCAGTGTCTGAGCCCAATGGACATGACCTTCTTAAAGAATCGGATCCAGAAAAATCCTTGAGTAATAATGAAAATCCGATCCATTGCTTGGCAAAAAATGATAATGAAAGCAAGCTGGGCACACTGTGAACTTAATAATTTCTACATGAGCCCCACTGAGGCCTGTTAGGAAACTGTGGAGACTTTTAAATTTGAAGGGAA